CAGATCCCTTCTCCTCGATCGCTCCGCTAGGGCTACAAGAGGAAAGAGGTAAATCTCATTCCTGTCCCATCACCACACTTGTTTCTCTTATCAAAACCCTAAACCCTAATTCACTACTATTTTTGCAATCTTCAAGAAATCTTGCTTTCTCCAGTTTAGCCATTTTTGGAAGTTTCGGATTGAAGCCAATAATTGGCTCCCGGCACGGACATTTCTTTGCTATCAAAATTGCACCTTTAAAGAAAATTATGAAAAGTTGTATCTTGCTATCAAAATTGCACCTTTAAAGAAAATTATGAATTTTTGATTTTTTATATTTTTACAGCGGGTGGGTTTTGTTTAAATACTAAAAAAAACTTCTATTTATGTTTCCGATGCCTTCCATTGAAACAGTGCACACACCAAGGATTATTGGGAAGAGGAACTTAAAGCCAATCCCACTAGTTTTTATAAGGATCTGTTGTTGGCTTAATTCATCACTGTCGACAGGCGACAGCTGATTACTGCTGGAATCTTTTACAGTGTTTTCAAATTATTTTCTTGTGCTGCCATAATTTATTTTGCCATGCTATTTAATTTAGCTTGTATAAGTAGTGCATTGAATATTTTCTAGTTAAGTACGTATGTTTCTGTATTGATTCACTTGTTTTTAGTTCATCTTGACATTGATTATTATTCTGTGGAACTAGTTTGTTATATTACTAGCTTAGTGGACATGTTATTTGCTTAGAGATCCTTTCAGAAGGTTCTCTGCTAGTCAGTTGTCTTTCTCGACTGATGTTTTTATTATCTTTGCAAGAATGACTAAATTGTTGGATGAAGAGCTTGAAGAGGATGAACTTTTTTGGAATCAAGAAGCTCTTAAGGAGGTAGTGCAGCTAGCCATATCCCATATTCTGTTGTTACTTCTGAAAGATGTCCAGATCGAGGCATATGCTTTTGTAAACTGTCTAATGGCTTATTTTGTATATTCTACTGTTTAACTAAATCTTGATTTGCTGTTTTCTTCTCAGGAAGAAAATGATGTTAATTATGAAGAAGAGCCAGAAACTGTTGATGTATTTGATAGTGATTTTGATGAAGATGTAAGTAGCCTCCGGTTTTCAAGTGCCCTGAATGATCATGCTTCATTTCAAGGATATTTCTGTGCTTAAAGTTTTTTATCTTCTGCGGAAATTATCACTAACTTTTCTTTTATAATCAGGAGTCTGAGTCTGATAATGAAGCTGAAAATATTGTAGAAGAGAGGTTTGCCTTATTTAGCTAAATTCTGCAAGCTGAAGTTTCTAGTTTACTGAACGCTGATTTGATTTCTGTGCTGTTAGGCTGCCATTAAAAAAGCGGTTGATATTTCCAGGAAAGACCCTACGAAAAAAGAAAAGCAAGAAGAAAGTTTTGTCAAAGCTAGATAAAGAGCCGACGACTGAAGCAGATGATGAGAAGAAGAAGTCTACTTCTGAAAGTCAGGATGTTCCAGATGATGCAGAGGCAGAGAGGACAATAAGAAAGTCAACTAGAACATCAGTAATTGTGAGGCAAGCTGAACGAGCAGAGCGAGATGCAATTCGTGCAGCACTGCAAGCAACCATGAAGGTAGTTTCTTCTGATGAATGTTTTTTGTGATCATAGCTATATAATTTCTCATCCCATTTGTGCTGTCTAAATGCATACTTCATACTGGTTTGCCAAAGTGCTGCTGATATATGATTTCTCTTCTATTTTTTTTGTCATGATTTCTGTTAAAAAATGCCTTCCATGCATTGACCATGTAGTAATCAATCAATGCATAGTCTTCTAATAAACAACCCTATGAAATTGAGATAATGAAAGTTTGTTTGTCTATGTTCTTATAATAATTATGTCGTGAAACAAATTGACAATTGATGGTACAAACTTTTTGCGTTTACCATGTCCAAATGCTAGTTATATCACACATAGGTATACTATATAGTATATATAACCAAAATATACTTATATTATATATACTGAAGCTATAATTAATACCTATTATATAATATAAAATATAGTACCTAATATAGCGCTACATCTCTCTCATCCTCCTCGTGTCTCTCGCTATAAATACTATATGTGTATATATATAGCAGAGAGAGAGAGAGATATGATAATATATAATATCATATAAATATAATAGTATAGATATATATAAGTATATAAGGTACGTATATGATATATACTATATACTAATCATACTATAATATATATATAAGTACTCTATACTAGTATAATAGTACTATAATATATATATAATAGCCATTAAACATAATACTAAATATATAAGCGAGAGAGAGAGATATTAGATACTATAATATAATAATATATATATATAATATACTCGTATACGTATTATACCTAGACACATATACATAGTATACAGATATATATAACCATATACGCCATATATACCATATAATATATGAAACATCATCTATACATATAATACGCCAGTATACATATATACATCTCTCTCCTCTCATATACACACCACACACACACACACACACACAACACACATATATACTCATATATGTTGTGTGTGTCTGTATAATATCTATATAACTATGAATGAGAAATTATGGGTATGCCCTTGGTACCAAAGCAAACAAATTTTGTGCTTGGTAGTTGGATGTGGTCACATCCCCATCCACTCACGTACCCAATGTGAAAATTTATATGCTCAGCAAATTTGAATGATGGAGGGGGTTTGACACCTCCACCTAACAAGCATAACTTTTTTGTGGCTTGGTACCAAGCATAGACCATATTTCCTCCCTCTCTCTCTCTCTATATATATATCAAGTATACCACTATAACTCTCTCTCTCCTCTATCTCTCTCACTCCTCTCTCTCTCTCTCCTTCCCTCCTCTCTCTCTCTCTATAATACAATATATTAACTAACTATAACTATAATATCATTATATATAATTAAGTATATACCGAGCGAGAGAGAGAGAGAGAGAGAAGAGAGATGTATACCGCTACTACGCTATATACATACACCACACACACACACACACACACAACGACACACACACACACACATAATAACATGATACACAAACACACACAAATATATTACCATATATACATATAATAGCTATAACAATCTCCTCTCTCTATACACACACACACACACATATATACTATACATACTATAGCATATATACATATAGATATACATGTATATATATTATACTGTGTATATATTAAATATATATCAACATAAAAAGCCTAATAAGTGTAAGACGATAAGACTATAAAATATAAAAAACAAGAATGTAAAAATTAAACATCCACCAAAATAAATAAAAAAAAACAACACCCACACACACACAAATAACAAACACCACTCAACCGACCCACTACAAAATATATAAAATATATTATAAAAAACAAAAAATAATAATGAAGAAAATATGGTATGGATTGGTAGCCAAGATTTGGTAAGTGATAAACAACATCCGCATCATCAACATGTGAATATATCTCACATAAGTAGGGAGGAAAAAAGAGTTAATAAAACACTCAAAACTCACCCAAATCATCAACTTTTTTGTGCTTGGTACCAAGCAATACGCATAATTTCTCTTCTCTCTCTCCCTCTCCTTCATCTCCTCTACCAAAATAGTATATAATAATACCACTAACGTAACGATAATATACCACACACCACTACACATATCTGGAAAAGTGAATCTAAGGTGACACCCTAGGCTCCCACCTAAGGACGCGACCTAAAATCACATCATTTCCTAAAAAAATTTTACGATCCGCTCCGTTGAACTTGATCTATACGTTCTTAAACCTAAACACACCAATTTTGGGGTGAACCCGTCGTGTTTTGACCATTCGTTGAGCCGTGCAAAAAGTTCTATTCATTCGAAACCGTTAAAATTACAGCGAGTGGATAAAGGGTTAAAACACGACGGGTTCACCCCAAAATTGGTGCGTTTGGGTTAAGAACGTGTAGATCAAGTTCAACGGAGCGGATCACAATTTTTTTTTAGAAAATGATGTGATTCTAGGCCACGTCCTTAGGTGGGAGCCTAGGGTGTCACCTTAGATTCACTTTTCCCAGTACTTACAGGAACAATTTTAACTCTCCATCCAAATCATTAATTTGTCATGGAATTAGAGGGTTCTGTATACATCCACTATCTCGATAATATTTGTGGTGAAACTTGAAGTGAATTTCCATGTCTGAAGTTACGCTTCATGTAAATAGTTCCTGCGATTTCATAGTAAGATACTCTTTCACCTTCACTTTTATTGCTAATTTTTCCTTTGTGTTATTGTTAATCATGTGGATGTGTAGGAGTTGTTAATGCTATATCTCAGTAAAATGTCACAATAATAGTGCATACATTTAATATATTGTGTTCAGATTATCCCAAGCAACAAATAAAATATAAAATAGAAAACATGATACGCATGAATGTTATGTAACCTCTGTATACATGCAATAGGTAACTTGTATTAACATTTTCTCAATTAAAGGTTAATCGTGCAGTTATCAAGTTAAAGGTGGCATGACTAACTTGCTTGAATATTGAAATCTTGATACAAGTACAACACAATGTTATGTTAAGTTTGGGTTCCTGAATCTTGATTTTCATAATGTATGGAGGAGTTGGTGCCAACATTCCTTTTCTTTCTCTTTGCATATTGATATGCAAGCCTCTCTTTTTTCAATTAGAACAAGCGGCAGGTGGCTTATTGTTGGGATAACACCCATTAAATTGCGGAAGTTAAAGTTTCCCTCTGTGTGATAAAATGGGCAATGTAAACTACTAGCAAAATTAATAAATGAGGCACATCGATTTTTACGTGGAAAACCCACTTAAGGGGAAAAACCACGGGACCTAGTGCAGATCAATTTTCCACTGTATCAGATAATGTGATTACAACAAGTCTTCTCTAGTAGTACTAGAGGAATACTATTAATCAACAAGCAACAATACACATCACTCCAAATAGTAGATAGCATGAAACAAACTCATCAAAAGGTGGATGACAGATTATTGTAGAGGACTCAAATTGATGATCCAATCGTTGGATGTGAGCACCCAACATCTCAAGAACAAAAATCTAAACTTTCATCTCGATCAGATAACGTTTGCCCTTAGATCAAGGATAGAACTCTCTACTGGTTGGAAATTCTGGACTGTTGACGCTCTCTTGATTTCTTTGTACTTCTCCCCTTTTGCTGTACCTTGCTACCCGCCAACATGCTCTTTATATAGTCATATCCGAGCCAGTGTTTTCAAAGGCGCGCGCCTCATGCGCCCTACGGTGCAGGGCAATAACGTAGCGCCACACATTTGATGCAGCAGTGCCTTTTGCACCTTGCAAGTGACATGTGCTTCACGTAGGGCGCATGCTAGGCGTAACTTCACATAGTTTTATTCTTTAACATTTCAATTGGGTCTTTATACCCGATAACCTGTAACCCACATCCCAAAAAGCAAAATAAAATCGTTAGGCTTCTATAGTAGCCCGATTGAGAACGATAAGTTTTGCTTCAATGTTAGCCTTGATCTTTTCATTTGAAAATTTATGAACTTCGCTCTATGTTGAATGTGTTAGTATTAGAAATTTAAAGCTTATTTCATGATTTCATAGTAGATATTATTTATCTTCAAGTATTTTACGTGAAAATAAATAAACATGTTCTTTCGTTGATTACCCATTTTGAAAAAGTATGTGTGGTGTGCGCCTTGCTTCACTTATACGCGTGCATCGCATTGCGCCTTATAGATGTATGCGTAAAGAGACTTTGCACCCCGCATTGCGCCTTGTGCATTGATGACATTGCTTCGAGCCAATTACCAATGCACAGATTAATGGCATAGTCACTTTTGTATATTTCCAAAAGCAACCTTCACTCCCTTAGACTTTGCATTCTCCAATGCAACCTTCAAGTTTACATGGTCAACACCATTTATACTTCTTGAAGTTTGGATCCTATTAGGAGGGAAAACCCAACACTTACATTTTAGAGTTCCAATAAATTTCTGTGGTACGTAGTTTTAAGTTATGTTTGGTGTCAAGCCATTTTTCTTTCATACCATTAATCTACTAGAGTTTGACTAGTTCTTAGATATTGAATAACTGAATGGGCATCATAGCGAACTGGAGTGAGAGTGCTATGCATAACTATTTTTGTTTGTCCTCATTTTAACATATACTTCTTTCTTCTACATTCATCTAATTTTAATGCAACACCAGCCAGTAAAAAGGAAAAAGGAGGGTGAGGAAAAGCGGATGACCCAAGAAGAAATGCTTCTAGAAGCAGCTCAAACAGGTTTGAACTAAAAAAAACTTTATTCAAGATTTGAATACCTTTATAATAACTTGTTTTGACCTTTATACGATTTTCAGAAATTATGAATTTGAGAAATTTGGAACGTATGTTAGCAAAGGAAGAAGAAGTCAAGAAAAGAGCTATTGTGCATAAAGCAGTTTATAATGGACCACAGATACATTTTTCTTCGAGAAATGGTTAGTATATTTTTCAGAAAATTCTCTAGACATAGTTAACATGACATATTCTCTTGGCTTCTATTTCGTCTCCTCATCTATAGCTTTGATTAATTCTGATTTAGTTATTGCTTGGCGGAAGATTAGTGCTTACTAGATATTTTTTTTTAATTTTGTATTTTGAATTTTCAGGTCTACAGTCATTAGCATTCAGCAAGGGGGCCACATTTCAGTCAGAAATTTGTACTACATCAAAGCCATGTAAGTATATAATCTTTTTAAAGAAATGAGTTTGAATACTGATTTTGTCTTTAGCAGGTGAAGCTTATATTGATTTTTTTCCTTAATAAGTTGAGATAAAATCAAATTGCTGCACCCTATTATTTTGTTTAAAGTTATCATTCTTGGTCAAATGTGACATTTTTTTGCTTTAAAGGATGTGTTCACTAATTTATTTTAATTTAATAACTTTTTTAGCGGATAAAAATAATGGGTGAGATAAAACGTGAAATGTTAATGGGTGAGATAAAACCAGAAATGTGAGTTGACAACAAGCAGAACTATATTTTAATACAAAAATAAGTCACAATTTAAGCCAACAATTACATGTTAAAAATAAGAGTTGTGTATATGAAACATAATTTTATAATATCTTTAAATTATAAAAAGAAAAAAGACTTGTCAGAATCAGTTATGTAAAACAAAAATAAAAAGATACAATTGGAATTCTCTGGAGTCAAATTTGTCAAGTACTGGGATATAAGGACACGCTGAAAAGGGCAAAGAGTCCGCATCCGACATGTGTCGTATGCAGATTCATCATGGATTCACAACAGATATGGGTTCAAGACCAAAATACCCGAATTTGCCACCCTATAACTAAAAGCTAAGTCATTTCTTAATGGGTTTAAAAACTAAAGTGAGTTTTGACCCAAAAAAACTCAAACCCAACTACTAAATTCTTCTCAAAACCTGATCCCTTCTATATTCTTTCTTTGCTGCCTTTTCGTCGTCTTCAACCCGGAAACATTCTCATCCCAAAGCTGCTTGACTCCATCAAATTTGCCCTAAAATGACTTTGTTGGAGTTCGAAGAGACATGGAGAAGTTTTTGACAAGAAATTACGAAGAATTGATAAGTAAATTTTAGTTTTCTTAACTTTTAGGGTTTTCTAGGGTTTTCAAATTGGCATGTAATCTGTAATTGAGTTAGGATTTTTGTCTTATAGTGTTGAAATCATCACATTTTGACCAATTTATTGATTGTACTCTATTTTATTTCTCATTTAGTTTAGTTTTTGAACATATTTTTCAGTTTTCATTTTCTTCATTTTTTTACATTTTTTCTATGTTCTTCGTCTCTATTTTTGGTTTTCTGCATTTTTTATTTATGTTCTCTGTTATTTCTTTGTTCTTTTTTTTTTAATTTCAGTTTTTTAATTTTGTTTGTTATTGCTTTCTCGGCTCAAATTTTTTATAACTTGTCTACATATGATTAATTAGTGTTTATTTGGTTAATAATTATATAAAATTAAATGGAGACGTCAAATCCTATTGATGTGGATAGAGATATTCAAAGTGAGGAGGACTATCTTGCTTCTCTTTGGAGATATGTTTCTAAACTTGAAAAATTGCTAGGAGGAGAGAATTGGTTATGGCGATGCAACTATTATCATGAAAATTTTAAAAGTTCCCATTCGAGAGTGAGAAGTCATCTTTTGAGGTTTCCAGTTTCCACATAATGGTATTAAGGGTTGCAACAACATGAAAAATAAAAATATTAGTGAGATGAAGAGAGTGTCGGATCAAGCGGAGCTTAGAATAAAGAACAAGAAGGTCAAATATGTTTCATGATTTACATTAACAACAACAATCACAATCGAAGTTTCAAAAAAGAGAAGTGATGGTGGATTTATTGTAGAAAAATCTTTTAATTGTGGAGGTCAATGTCATATACATGGTCTCATTGCAAAAATATTTTACTCGCCTGGTTTACTATTTAATTTGCCGAGAATTCATACTTCATTGAGTTAAGTGTGCTGTGAGCAATTCTTTTGGAGGTATGTTCCTTCCGGCTTAAACCTTTTAAGGACAAATCTTTTGCAAAAAGATAATACACCTTGAAAACTTGTTGGAACCAATAAAGAACTCATGGAAAGATAAATGTGTTTCTAGTGCAAGTGATGGTTGATTCGACTCGTAAAGAATACTGAAAGAAATGGTATAATGTATGAGGAATGTGGTTGGATTAAGGATATTACCGAAGATGTTGTGATTATTAGAAATTTTATAACGAATCACTCAATAAGATTAGCCATGTACGATAATCATGTGAAGTTGAAGATGATTGCAATTGCTGAAACTCATTTTGCTTTAGTAGTTATCATGTTTCAACGCTTTAAGAAAATAAAATGCGGCCTTATCAATCTGGTGGTAAGTGAATGTTAAAATTCATAGAGATGATGATGTGCGCAAAGAAAAATTTGTGAATGGAACAATTTTGAATGATATTTGGTGGGATAAGTTAGAATATGTCATCTCTTTTACCGAGCCAATATATAATATGCTTCGATCCATCGACACCGACAGATCTAACCTTCACTTAGTATATAATATATGAGATTCCATGATTGAGAAGATGAAGAACTCAATTTATAGAAAAGAAGGTAAAATGAGATGAAGAATCAACGTTTTATCATGTTGTGCATTTAATCCTAGTTGATCGGTGGAATAAGAGCAAAAATTCGTTACATTGTTGGCTCTCTATCTAAATTCCAAGTGAGTTTTACGCATTCACGACTTCAAGCTCCGGCTTCAAGATTGGGTTCATCAAGAGATAAATTTGCAACCTCTGGTTCATCAAGTGAGTTTTACACATTCACGAGATATTAGAAACAACTTCAGGTTACGGCTCGCCAAACACAATGACTTCAAGCTTCAGTTCATTGAGAGATTGATTTGCAACCTCTAATATGTTGGCACTGTTAGAAGTCTCGAAGTCATCTTCACCTATATTCCACATCTTCGTCTCTCCTTTAGAATATTCGACGGATCTCCTTGAGAGAAGACTAAGATTTGTATGAACATATACTAAATTTTCAGCTCGTTTGGGATTCATCTTGTTCCTTGATATGAAATGGATAAACTTATATGCTAAGAAGCACCGACTCGTGAAAACTCCCCCGTCCCCGTGTCCGACGCTTGTCGGGGACGGACACGCGTTCGACACGCGTCGGACACGGCGTCAACGGCGTCGACACGGTCAACCCTAGTCGACACGGCGAAGTTGAGGGCGACACGGCGAAGACGAGGGCGACACGGCGAAACCAGACTTTGAAACCCAAACCCGAAACCCAAACCCAATCCCGAAACCCAATTTTAAACAGAAACCCAAACCCTAACCCTAGTCGTGAGAAAACTTACCCGATTTCTCGTCGAAAGGGCTCTTGCGAAGTGAAGAGGCGCCGCCAGCTCAGTCTCCTCGTCCTCGTCGTCGTCGTCGTCGTCAGCTTCGTCATCGTCGTCGTCGTCGTCGTCAGCTCCAAGGTCAGCCCCTCTCTCTCTCCCCCTTTCTCTCTCCCCCCGATCCCTTTCCCTCTCTGGTTCTCTCTTTCTCCTCTCTTATCTCTTTCTCTCCCTCGTTTATCTCTTTTCACACTCTCACCACGAAAAAACCCCCATAACTTTCCAGACTCACAAAAAACCCCCAACGACCACCACGTTCACACCACCGTCCACTGTTCTCACCTTCTCTCTCATAAAAAATCGCACACAGATTTCAATCCCCCTCTCAAAAGTCGCACACGGGTTTCAAAGAACCTGCCCCCCACTTTGTATTTTAAAATAGGTGATTATTGTTTGCTAGTTTGTCTTTTTTCTTCCTGTTGGATGCTTCACTGCTTGGGTTGGTGTTCTCATGCTTCGCTGCTCATTGGTGATTAGTTTAAGGGTCCATTTTTTGTTTGCTGTTTTGCTACTATTGGATGATTAGGGTGATAATCTCTGATTGTTTACTATTTTGTTGCTTTATTACCATGTTAACTGTTATTAATTATTCTTTTTTTACTGTTTTGCTACTGCTAGATAATTTTCTAATGTTAACTGCTATTTGCTTACTGTTCTACTATTGTATGCTAATTTAAATGTTAATTAGGATTGTTTAACTGTTGTTTGCTTACTGTTTTACTATTGTATGCTAATTTAAATGTTAATTAGGATATTGTTTCATTTAAATTTACTGTTCTACTATTGTTTGCTTTTAGTTTTAGTTACTGTTCTACTATTATTAATTTTAATTTATTGTTATTGCTTATATTTTACAGAAATGGAACAAGACGGGAGTTCTAGTGGTAGTGGAATACAAGATGACAAATGTCCGTTTTGGAAATATGTTACCAAATTGGAGAAAAAGGGGGGAACGGCAGGAGGAAATTGGAGATGGAGATGTAATTATTACAGAGAGGATTTTACTGGTTCACACTCAAGAGTTAAAAATCACCTCTTGAGGATAAGTGGGACTGGAATTAAGATGTGTTCCAAGTCAACACCTAAAAATTTAAGGGAGTTTCAAAGAACGTTGGATCAAGCAGAGGCGAGGTTGATGGCTTCTAGGCCTAAGATGTCAGTTTTGCCTACATCTTCGACTGCAAGTACGGCCGGTGTAGGTGCAAGTGCAAGCATGCCGATTGATGCAGGTGGATTTAAGAGGAGGGGGCCTAATACCGTGGAATAAGCATTCAACATGGGAGCAAGGGAGGAATTGGATGCATTGATTGGTAGAATGTTCTTCACCGGGGGATTGTCCTTCAACTTGACAAGGAATCCATATTATGCCAAAGCTTTTGCATATGCCGCAAACAATCCAATTTCTGGCTACAAGCCTCCTGGTTATAATTCCATGAGGACCACTATCTTACAACGTGAGAAAACTCACGTAGAGAGATTGATGGAGCCTATCAGGGGCACATGGCAACAGAAGGGAGTCTCCATTTGTAGTGATGGGTGGGTGGATGCACAAAGGAGGCTCATCATCAATTTTATGGCGGTATGTGAGGGTAAGCCAATGTTCTTGAATGCCGTGAATGTCGAGGGAGAAGTCAAGAATAAGTATTTTATCCAAACACAGCTAGAAAAGTGCATCACAGAGGTGGGACCGAAAAATATCATCCAAATCATAACCGATAATGCTTCGGCATGCAAGGCCGCAGGAGGGCTTGTGGAGCAAACTTGGCCTCACATATTTTGGACTCCTTGTGTAGTTCATACACTCAATCTTGCTGTCAAGAATATTTGTGCAGCTAAGAACACGGAAGCAAATGCCGTGGCTTATGCACAATTACATTGGATTACAGATATCTCCGATGATGCATTGTTTATGAAGAATTTTATCATGAACCATTCTATGCGGCTTTCCATATTCAATGATTTTTCCAAGATGAAGCTCCTATCAATTGCCGACACAAGATTTGCCTCGTGGATTATTATGTTGAAGAGGTTTAAGGTCGTCAAGAGAGGCCTCCAAGACATGGTCCTTAGTGATCGATGGAGCTTATATAGAGACGATGATGTGGAGAAAGCTCAATTTGTGAAAGAGAAAGTCCTCGATGATTTGTGGTGGGACAAGATAGATTTTATTCTTGACTTCACCGGCCCAATCTATGAAATGATAAGGGTCACCGACACCGATATACCATGTCTTCATTTGGTGTATGATATGTGGGATACAATGATTGAGAAGGTGAAGCAAGCTATTTACAGGCATGAGGGTAAAAGGGATAACGAGGAATCTCCTTTTTATGAGGTGGTTCACAAGATCTTGGTGGATCGATGGAACAAGGGCAACACCCCGCTTCAGTGCTTGGCACACTCTTTAGTTCCAAGGTAATATTTCACATTTTACTCTTTAATGCGAATATTTCAATTAATTTTAATACATGAATTTCTTCTCACAAACATAGGTACTATCATTCCACATGGCTCAATGAGAACGTCAATCAGCAACCTCCAAATCAAGATCTTGAGATCTCTACAGAAAGATCAAAGTGCTTAAGAAGATATTATCCTAACCCCGATGAACGATTGGCGGTGAACTTAGAATATGCTAAGTTTGTGGGGTCTTTGGAGGCTTTTGGTGATCTGGATTCTCTTTCCGATAGAGGACATATGGATCCAAAGTCATGGTGGCTTCTTTATGGTGCAAGTGCTCCAAATTTGCAAGCATTGGCCATAAAGCTTCTAGGCCAACCTTGTTCCTCTTCTTGTTGTGAACGGAATTGGAGTACGTATGGTTTCATTCACTCCTTAAAGAGGAACAAGCTAACCCCAACACGGGCGGAGGATCTTGTTTATGTTCACACCAACCTTCGTTTACTTTCTCGGAATTCGGAAGAGTATATGGAAGAGGAATCAAGAATGTGGGATATTGGTGGAGATGCCTTCGACTCATTTCAAGGAGCCGGCATGTTAGATGCTGCCCTTTCTCTTGATGAGCCCACGATGGAGGCCATTGTGTTTGATGAGGATGAAAGAGTTGAATCCATAGAATAATCTTTTTGATGTTTCAACTTGAAAACTTTATTTTAAGATATGCTTTTGAGTGTAATTTTCATATTTTTGCAATGTTAGTAACTTAGTATTTTATAGTCATTGAACTAGTTGCAACTTGAACTTTATTCTCTTGTATTTTTATATGCTCAAGATGAAAGTAGTGAAAATTAAAAAATCTAGCCGTGTCGCCGTATCCTATTTTTTGGGTTTTGCCGTATTCGTGTCCGTGCCGTGTCCGTGTCGCCGTGCCCGTGTCCGTGCTTCATAGCTTATATGTGCTCCAATGTCTCTCACAACAAGGTAAGGAACATGATGACCAAGCAACTTTAATCCTAATTCTTATAATTTTGGAGTAGAAGCCTCATAGATAACCCACCATAATTTGAGATCAATTTCTCCCCTATCTTGCAAAGATTCATAGTCCTCAAATGAATCATATCCGACGAAAAATTTAGCAAATTCGATACAATGTTGAAAATAGCGATAACGCATAGCGTAACGCTTACCTCCGGTTAGGTTACAATAGCGATAACACATAACGTAACGTAGGTTAAATAATTTATTATTATTTAAATAATTTATAGATATATAACATTCAAAATAAAAAATATGAATAATCATCGCAATTCTTAATTTCACAAATCAATATATGATCACAATTTCACAACAAAATCAACCGTGTTTGCCTTAACGATCAATTCAAAGGCGAAATTCGACGATAGATCAATAACTAACAGAAACCTAACATCGTGTGTTCCAGCCAAATAGATCAAATTTCTCACGCTAATCATGTTAAAGAGTAAAACAATGGCAACTTCAGGGAACAAGTCAAGCTCACCCTTCCACACATATTAATTTTTATGGCTTTAAGTGTGAAACATAGTCTGATTATCAGTATTCAAGATTGTATTATGTATTTACCTTGCTAATTTCAGAAGTTGAATGGCGGGAGTGGACGACGATGTCGAAAGTGGCGGCATGAGACGACGATGACAGCAAGAGTTAGGGTTTTGTTAGAATTTAATAAATTATGAGAAGTGGGAGAGTCAATCACATCCGTTGAATTATTTTAAAAGCAATCCAAGCTATTAAACAAATAACCTACGTTACAAAACGCCACGACGCTACGTTACGTAGCTTGCTATGGCTAAAATAGCGCACATTATTTTGTCCGTGCGCTATTTGAAAACGCTATGTAGCGTTAGGTTAACGTTACGTTACGTTAAGCGCTATTTTGCGCTACGAAACGCGCTATTTTCTACACTGATTCGATATTAACTATCCGCCGTTTCTCGATATTAGGAAAATATCTTTTCAAGCATCTTGCTTTTTCGTTGGAGATTTCAAGATCTTTTTGTAGCGCAACCCAGTTTGAAGCATTGGTGAGCCGATCAACACTATACTGCCTAGAAAATTTGAAATCATGTTAATGAGCTAAATATAAAAACTTAATAAATTTATAGAAAATGAAGACTAAAATTTTTGTGAATTTGTAAAGCTCACTTCAGATTTAGAGAGTGAGCCAAACAATGTAACGAAGTGTTGCTCTTATTCCACCGATCAACTATGATTGGATGCACAACATTATTAAATATTGATTCTTTATCCTGTCTTTTACCTTCTTTTCTATAAATTGAGCTCTTCACATTCTCAATCATGGAATCCCACATGTCATATACCTAGTGAAAGTTAGGTTTGTCAATGTCGATGGATCGAAGCATGTTATGTATGAGCTCAGTAAAAGAGATTATTTATTCTAATTTATCCCACCAAATATCATCCAAAATTGTTTCTTTCACAAATTTTGCTTTGCGCACATCATCATCTCTATATGAATTTCAATATTACTAATCACCAAATTGATAAGGTAATGTTTTATTTTTCTCAAAGCGTTGAAGTATGATAACTACTAAAGCAAAATGAGTTTTGGCGATTGCAAACATCTTCAACTTCACATAATTATCGAACATGGCTAATCTCATTGAGAAATCCATTATAAAATATTCAATCATCACAACATTGGTAATATCGTTAATCCAACCACATTCCTCGTACACTATACTATTTCTTCCGGTATTTTTTGCCGTACAAATATTTTTAAGTGCAATATTAAGTGTATGAACCACACAAATAGTCCAAAAGATATGCGGATATTTCGTCTCTATAAGGCCCTCGTTGACTTACAAATTGGTGGATTATCGGTTATAACTTGCACCACATTTTGAGGACCAACCTCTTCAATATCCTTAATGAGAATTTTTGTAATATACTCCACATTTTTAATATTCTCATCCACATTGACGACATTAAGAAACACTAGTCCATTTTCGGTCACCGCAATGACATTAATGATGGGTCTTCTTTATGAGTTGGACCAATCGTCACTTGCCATAGAGACACCTTTATCTTTCCATGAGTTCTTTAATGCTTCCAACAAGTTTCTAATGTGTGTCTTATCTTTGTACAAAAGACTCTTGTCCTTAAGAGATTTAAGCCAGGAGGAACATATCCTCCAATGGCATTGTTCACAGCATACTTATAGGACTCAATGAAGTATGGATTCATTGACAAATGAAATGGTAAACTGGCTGAGTAAAACATTCTTGCAATGAGACACAATCAAAAGGTTTTTCTATGGTAAATCCACTGTCCCTTCTCTTTTTTGAAACTTCGGTTGTGATTATTGTTGTTGACAGATGATCTTCTTGTTCTTTATTCTAAGCTTCGCTTGATCTGACACTCTCTTCATCTCATTAATATTTTCATTTTTCACGCTCTTGCAACCCTTAATAACATTATGTGAAAGCCTCAAAAGATGACTCCTCATCCTCGAATGGAAACTTTTAAAGATTTCATGACAACAGTTGCATTGTCATAACCAATTCCCTTCTCTCGGTGATTTTTGAGTTTAGAAACATATCTCCAAAAAAGAGCAAGATCGTCCTCCTTAGATACCAATGGTCCAATAGGAACAAGAATTTTCAGTAAAATCGTCTCTTTTTTTTATTTATGTTCTCTATTATTTCTTTGTTCCTTTTCTTTTATTCTCAAAAAACTAAAATAAAAGAAAAAGAATAAAGAAATAATAGAGAACATAAATAAAAAAATATAGAAAATCGAAAGAGAGAGAGAGAATAAAGAAAAGTTATAAAGAACTGAAAAAAATGTAAGTGAAAAAACATTCAAAAACTAAACTAAATGAGGAATAAAATAGAATACAATCAATAAATTGTTCAAAATGTGATGATTTCGACACCATAAAATAAAGACCCTAACTCAATTACAAATTACATCAATTTTGAAAACCCTAGAGAACCCTAAAAAGTTAAGAAAACTAAAAATTACTAACTAGTTCTTTATAATCTCTTCTCAAATACTTCTTCAGGTCTCTTTGAACTCCAACAAAGTCATTTTGGGGCGGATTTGATGGATTCGAGCAGCTTTGGGATGCGTTTCTAGGTTGAAGGCGACGAAAAGGGAGCGGAGAAAGAATATAGAAGGGAGTTGAAGACGACGAAAAGAGAGCGGAGAAAGAATATAGAAGGGAATGGGTTTGAGAAGCATTTAGGAGTTGGGTTTAGGTTTTTGTGTCAAAACTCACTTTAGTTTAAACCCGTTAAGAAAATGACTTAATTTTTAGTTATAAGGTTGCAAATTAGGGTTTTTTTGGTTTTGAACCCGTATCCGCTGCAAATCCCTAACAAATCTGCATCCCACAAGTGGCGGGCGTAGACTCCAGCGTGTTTGTGTATTTGAGGTTAACATAGCTTTTGTTCTTGACATATATATTTTGGGGCATACTTGTAATATTTTGGGAGAAACATGTAATATTTTGGGACATAATTATTACTTTTGGAGTGTTCTTGTATTCTCAAGTTGAGTAATGAATGAAATTTTGAGAACAAAATTTGGTT